CAGGACTGGAAACAGGGTCATGTCAGAAGTGGTTTTGGATGTTACAATACAATGTAAAGAATAACAGTACAGGAGGTGGATCTAGGGAGCCTGGATTCAAACCCACTCTGTTTTCATCTCTGTGGCAGACTATATAGTTTGTCCTCAAATCCATTCTTCCCTTCTTCCATAGAAGTAAGAATTTTAACTGAATATAGGCCATGCAGCTTGACAGTACAGATGTGTTGTCATGTGACAAACTTCTGGTCAGCAAACTGTAGGAGGAAATGATCTGTCCCTCTTCCATATCATTTATATAAAAGAAATGCACTTGCTCTGCCTTTCTGTTCTTCTCTCCTACCAGCCAGGGGGAACAAAGGCATGAAATGGCCCAAGTTCAAGCACCTCAAGGACTACAACACCCTAAGAGATAGAGAGAGCCACAAGATGGAAGGAAACTGGGTCCCTAAAGTATTACATATAACAGAGCTGTTCCACCTTCATGGACTGTATTTTGAGGGTCTTTTTGTTACAGTAGCTTAGCCTATACCTTAACTAATACATCCCTATGTGCAACTGGGTGAAAAAAACATTGGGAATCAACAGAGGGAAGCTGATGTTAGGCCACATAAAGGAAAGAAGATTCACATGTCAGCTATTGGCTTAGAGCTAGGGCAGCCTGAGGAGACCGGCAGTATGAAAAACATCAATACAAAGCCCAGGAGATTTAAAAATTTCACAAAGAATTTAGATACAACAATATTACAAGTGGTGAGTTGCAAAACAATGTTTCCTTTGTAAAGATCAGCTCCTTTGTGGAAGGCCACTGGTAAAGGCATCTGTTATACAGAATTGAACAGATTTCATCATGAACCAGCTTTAAAAAGCACTGTTTCCATGGGCTGCCTGCCAGAATGCAGGACTAGCCTTGTTATATAGAACCAGACGTTACCACGGACTTGCTACAATTTTCTGGATACCAGAAAATGGTAAACCACATTCATTAGTATGTAACTACAAATTGGAAATTTTTAACCATCAAAATTCCAAAGGACTTAAATTCAATTTCCTTGCATCACACTTCAGATTTTAAGAATCCCACTGTGTCTATCTTGAATTATACAGAGAACAAAATTCACACTGCTAATATATGATCTCCATAGCACAGTAAGGTGTATATAAACCAAATTCCTGTGAAATCAATCATGTATTCATCCAATAAATATTTCTTAAGAATTTACGTGGGGAAGTTCTACTGGAAGCAAAGGAAACACATTCCCACCCCCACCCCATCAGAGAGGGAGTAGCCCAGTGATGGAGACAAACACCCACTCAGGAAGAGGAAGTACAGGGTGCGATGAGTCCAACAGAGGGTCCAGGAAGTTTCTAAAAGAAGTAACATCTGGTCTAAGCCCAGAAGCTGAAATCAGAGCAAGCCAGAGAAACAAGGAAAGAAGGGAACAGCATGGCGAAAGGTCAGAGGCAAATTCAAAGAACCAAAGGAAGTTCGGGCTAACTGCCAAGTGAAAGGAGAGAAACGATAAGCAGTAAGTCTAAAGGCATATGCAAAAAAGACCATGTAAACCACGTGAAAGGGTCTGGCTGGACTTCATCCACAGGGCAGCAGGGAGTCTTGAAGGATTTTAACAGCAGGATGACTTGGCTGCACTGTGTGGAAGACCTGGGGGAAGGGCAAGACAGATGGCAGGGGAACACTGAGGAGGTTATTGCTGTAATGCAGACTAAAGATGGTGGCCTGAACTCACACAAGCAGGGCTAGAGAATTGAGACAGCTTTGAGAAATATATCATGGGTGGAATCCTGTAATTTTTTCATTAATATAAAATGTATTCTCAATTAAACCGCATTCACATTACCAATTAATGTTCAACTGTCAGGGGAGCTTACCATGATTTGCATGTTTCCCCGAACTTCAAAGGTTTGATGATCTATAAGTGGTCAATAGGTACAAAGGAATTTCAGTACTTTACAATGGCAAAACAGATCTACAGTCCCCTGATCTTGAGGCAGAATACATTTCCAGATTCAGAAATATTCAGATTTCAGAAAGGTAAAATGGTCCACGTACTTTATATTACATAGCACCCGAGGGTAAGGCCTGAGATAGTACCCTGTAATAAAATGCATTCATAATTTTGCAGCAAAATGGATGAACAGTCACACCACAGGGAATGAATAAGAGAGTTCAAGTCAGGTTTTGCTCAAATTCAAGTTAGGATTTGCTGCCAAGTAAGTAACAAAAGAACTTGAGGTTATTCAGAGTTCTGGGTATTTCAGAATTGCAGGTAAAGGATGGGGGATCTGTAATCATATCTTAATTCCTATGCTAAGTTTGGGCTTTTATGTGAAAAGTGCACCCTTAGCAAGCATTTTACTTCAAAGTACCAAAGTACTTGAGAAGACATGCAGACAAGGAGATAATTACAAAATCCCATCAGTGATACCAAAGTGAGCTACCAAAGGGCGTAAAAAAATGTCAGTGCAGCCAGGTATCAATGTGCTGAGGCTGCTAAAAATCCAGAAAGCAGCTGTTTTGCAATCATACCTATCTTGCAAGATAGCAGGTAGATAACCTGACAAAACCCACAGAGAAGGCCCACAGCTAAAAGACCAAAAAAGGAAGCCCCCTGCAGCCAAAGGCACCCTAGCAGAGGAATTACAGATATTCCCAATCCAGTGAGACACAGCACGAAGAAATTCCAAGCACAAGTCCACACCAGTTAAATGCACAATTAAAAACAAAGGGATACACAAAAAACAAAAACAAACAAAAACACCTCACAGACACAGATAACAGTATGGTGAGTACCAGAGGGAAAGGAGGGTGAGGAAAGGGGGAAGAGAGGAAAGGGATCAATGGTGATGGATGGAGACTTGACTTGGAGTGGTGAACACACAATACAACATACAGATGATGGATGTATAGAATTGCACACCTGAACCCTATATAATTTTATTAACCAATGTCACCACAATAAGTCAATTAAAAAAAGGGAAGGTCCTTACCATTCTCTTTGTTTTGGCAAAGCCAATTGGTAGGGATGAAAATGGTGGCAACCATTTCATATATAGAGAAAGAGTTTATAGTTCTCAAAATGCCCAAATAATACCCTTCTGAAGATGTGCTTTGAAAACTGTTGAGCCATGAAAAAAACAAAAACAAAAACCACTACAGTCAACACAAAGAACACTACCAGTGACAGTCACTCCTAGAATCTGTCATAAACCCTACCAAAACGGACCTTGATGGTGTGACAGTCCGAGGGCATCTCAACAATGTGTACTTCCACGAAGAAGTTGCGTGAGATTAGATATCAAGAAGGTTAGGCCTTCAACCCAGAGGAAAAGAAATATGAACTTACAAAGCAGGACAAAGCAGACCAGAAAACTGTAGACTCTCAACTTTTGCCAAAAATCAGAGCCCATCCTAGTTCCAGGACTACATGTAATGCCTTGAAAACAAAGCATATCCTCACAAGCTGGTCTTTTAAATCATCTGCAGAGTTCTAATTAAAATATCTTAAACAACAATAACAAACAAACAAACCCCTGCAGTTTCAAGGGAACTTCTTTCCTGAGGGCCAATTAAAAAGTCTGTTAATAACACCAAAACATAAGGAACTCCGTAAGACAAAGACACCACAAGGCAAACGTTGTATTTGCAGCAAATATTCTAGAATATCAGTGAATCTAAAAACACAGCAAGGTCATTTGTGAAGGTCAGAGCTCCATGCCCCAAATCTCAAGGAAGAAAAGCTTCCCAGACAATATTCAAGGAAAGGAAGTTTCAGACTGTAAATACAACAGGTGTGGTGTTGGTTTTGAAGGAGCGTGTACTTGGTGCAAGGCCAGTCTCCCAACATATTCGTATGAGAATGTCCTCACTTAGAAGGCTGGGTGGGCTCGGGAGGAACGTCTCTACCGGCACAGGTTCTCAACTAATATAAAACCAAAGCAAATAAACTGTTTATTCCAGGTCAGAAAATAAAGGCAGTATAGTCCCCCCAAATATGTCCTGTGAAATTTCAAAATAAATAGAATTCCATCTCTCTCCTGCATAAGCATCTGTAAAGTTTACATTGTCTTATTTTAAGGGCTAAATCAGGGACAAAAATTATTTCTAGGATACATTTTTTTTTTCTTTAGGAATCTAAATGCCTGAGAACCTAAACAAGGCCCCAAAATGAATTTTAGCATTCTCCATGTTACATGTGCATCAGGAATACCTATAAAAAAACCATTCAAAAAGATGAGGCAGATCTGTATGTACCATGAATATAGAAAGATGTCCAGGACAAATCATTAAAAGGCAAAAAGCAAATCGTCGAAGAGCACAGCAGAGAGCAGTATACCATTTTGTAAAATAAACTATACATGTGTTGTAAATATAGACAGAAATACTTTTTCCATGAGACATAGTTAAGGATCAGGAAGAACATGTATAACCATTAACATTTGTTTTACTAGGAAAATAAATTAGAAAGTAAGGCAGAAAATTTTTCCTTCTGTTTCATACAGTTCTGCAGTGATTGTTTTCTCTTAATAACCATGAATTATCTCACCTTTAAAAAATTAAAAATTTTAATGATGTTAACTAGACTTATTGACTTATTGTGGTGATCTTTCACAATATATACAAATATCAAAAAATTAAATTATATACCAGAAATACAGTGTTATATATCAATTATACTTCAATTAAAAAAATTAAAGCAAGATTCTATTACAGGTGATATTAGACTATTCCCAAATAAATAATTTACCATTATTGCCTTTTAAGTCATAGCTACAATACCCAACAATTAGTAGGGCTTTTTCTAAATGGGCTAGCTCATAATCTTTAGAAAAAGGAGAACAGGGAGAGAGCTGACAGGGAAGCAACTGAATGAATGAGAGATATCATGGACCATATGCGCAAGAACCACATTCAATTCTATGACTATGATACCCAAGTATCAGAGCACTGGACTAATTCCAAAGAAAGAAATGTAAAGACTCACCAGATAAAGGTTATTTTTGTCCTGAAAGGCATACTGTAATTGGGGGATCCAAGGACTTGTGCTCCGAGATAATATGTTCTGTTCTTCCTCAAAAAATGAAACCTTGAGGAAAAAGAAACATTTTAGACAATTATAAAAAAGCAAATGTAAAGGAGGGGAAAATGCCCTTTTCTCTCTCTTTAAGCATAAACTGATGTCCCTAGTTTAAAAAGAAAATCACTTAGCCCAGCTTTCCACAAATCTCATCCATTCGCCTACTTTGCTCACAATTTTTGCCAAATCTGTATATTATCTGCCCAATTACTTACCATCTTTCTTTAAAGTCAATTCACTTCCTTTAACTCTAAGCATCTTTTTGTTTCTCTTCACCTTCCCTTCCTCAATAATTCAGTCCTAAAGCCATTAGGTGAAGCAGATTAAGGCTGGCATCCATGACAGGCGGTAGGGAGAGTCATGGCGGCCGAGCACGGGCTGCCAGGCCCAAGCAGGGTGAGGAGGGCTGCAAACGTGTGGGGCCACTCCAGCACATGGTATCGATACGCAGGGTGAAAAAGGAACCCACATGTAGGGATGGCCTGGAACAGACCATCGGCGCTCCCCAGAGGGAGGGGGCAATGGATTGGATGCACACAGATGTATAAAATAAGTTAAAATACTAAGGATAGTGTCAGAGAAGAGAGTTACAAACATGGAAAGGGTGAAATTTAGAATGAACCCTGTGAAGTTGGTACTGGTGTCAATACTAGTGAGAACACCTACCACCCAGATCTTGGCCTCTAAATACAAGTTTACACAAAAAGGACTCCTTGTAGGACCAGAGCAAGTAAGGTAAAAGAATAAGACCCTGAACATCTTATACAAGAAGGTAAGTAGTACTCAAAGATGGGAATATATTAAAAGGACAAAAATCCAAGCTGAAGAGATTCTCATTGGCCAAACTGGAAACAATTTGAGTATAAAAATATATAATAACAGGCCCTGATAGGGTAGCTCAGTTGGTTAGAGTGTTGTCCCAATAAGCCAGGGTTTCAGGTTTAACCCCCAGTCTGGACACATACAAGAATCAACCAATGAATGCATCAATAACTGGAACAGCAAATCAAATCGATGTTTCCCCTTCTCTCTTTCTCTTTCTTTCTCTCTCTCTCATTAAAAATAATAATAATAATAAATAAAAATTTAAAAAATAAAACCCTCCAGCCCATACCTCACAAAGGGTCATCTTGAGTCATTCACCAAGAGGAAGGCATCCCTGTTTGATTCCGCAGTATGGTATGTTGGATTACTTTGTTTTTATATGCACAATTTCCCATCTAAAACATAAACATCACAAGGCTCGGGCTACCTCTAATGCCTCTTTTTAGGGACCTAGAAACACTCCAAACACAACAGGTACTCAGTGAGTGTTTCCAGATGATAGATGGTGAGTGGGCATTAGGAGGCTGAGTGAGCATCTTCCACATCTCTCTTCCAAATAATCTACCACAACCTGTCATTTTTCCTTTTTGTGTAGTTGCTCACACTGCATTTCTAAATACAGTCTACATCCCTCCTGGACTCTAACAAGCAGCTTCCTGCCCTCCACTCCTTCTTCGTTGGAGGGCCCACAAAGTCACTGACGTCCTCAGGCTCTGATCCCAGCCTCCTCCTTCCAAAAGCCTAATGATCCCCCACCATCTCACAAATTAAACTGCCACTCCAAAAGCTGGTTTGGGGGAAATGATAAGTGACCACTGAATGGGTACAGAGTTTCTGTTTTGGATGATGAAGAAGTTCTAGAAAGAGATTGTGGTCACAAAACATTGTGAATGCACTAATACAAATGATTGTATCTTAAAAATGGTTAAAATGATAAAGTTTTGTTAGGTATATTTTGCCACAATAAAAAACAAGTTCTTGAGATTTCCCACCAATTACCCACATCCCCCCTAAATGTCCTCATTTCTTCCCATTCCCCAATCTATTTCTTCTAAACCACTTAAAAGAAAAACACAAAAACAAAACACACACACAGACAAACACACACACACACGCACGCATGCACGCACGCATATAGCATTCTAATACTCAAAACTCCAGAACGTCACACACACCACATCTGGCATATTCTCATCACTTCTCTCTGCCTAGAACTACAGCAGTATAGAACTTTCCCTAACTGTCCATAGCTCAGCCACATTTCTCCTCACTCCATCATTTGAGAATTTGCTAACTGTTCCTGTGATGCTTTAGCTGTTTTAGCTGGTAAGCACCTGCTTTATATACTTGTCTTTTTCCTCTGCTTTCCAAGTTTGTTTTTTAATTGATTTTAGAGAGGGGAAAAGACAGAGAGGGAGAGGGACAGAGAGAAGGAGAGAGATGTCGACTTATTGTTCCACTTATCCATGCATTCATTGGTTGATTCTTGTATGTGCCCTGACCGGAGATTAAACCCACAACCTTGGCACATAGGGACCATGCTCTAACCAGCTGAGCCACCCAGCCAAGGCCCCAACGTTGTTTTTAAACCTTGAAACTAACAGCCATGGAGCTTCAATTCCTTGTGCAGGCTTCCCATGGAGCCGGGTACATTATCAGACACATGATGTGCACTCAAATGTCTGTAACTAATAAATTATTCTCTGAACTCCAAGGCTGATGGCTGTCTCTCTAGAAACACAGCAAATGAATCAATATGTCTGGAGCATCAGTCTTGTTTAAAAGAAAGAATACTGCAACCTTAAAGATAACTTCTTATCCACTCTCAAATAAGCAACTCCCTAGCCACACAAGAATTTTATTTAATTTTTTTTTTACTTTTTATTGAATTTATTGGAGTGATGCTGGTTAACAGATTTCAGGTGCACGATTCTATTTAATTTCTTCAAAGACCTGTTTTAAAATCAAATATTCATGCCCATATCACGAACATATAAAATGTGTACAAAAGCAAATGCTGACTCACACCATAATATGCATACCTCTAAACCCACAGCTGATAGTCATGAAAGATCTTAAACTCATTAATTAAAAAAAGCCAAGTTGGTTCTGAATAAAACACAACTATAAAAACGGGATAAAGAAATCAAGGGGAGCTTGTGAGCCTTCAAAATGAGTCAATATCAGCTCAAGAAAAAGAGCCAAGGACATGAGAGACTTTCTGCCCATGCAACCATAATTAACTACAGAGTCACAGGAGAAACGGGCTTGATCCCAGATGTCAATTCAGCAGATTGTTGTCTCTGCAATGAACATGCTAGTACAGAGAAGGAAAGGGCATGATGCTAAAATGCTCCTACCTGCTCCTGGGCCAACAAGGCCTTCTTCTTCATGACTTTCATAGCATAGATGTCCCCGGTGGCTCTCTCTCTTACCACGTGCACTTCAGCAAAATGTCCACAACCTACCAGACTTCTGACTTCAAAGTCCTTTGCAGAAGGCTGGAGCCCCTGCAACTCAGCGATGGTATCAGAATCTGCAAATCATGGAAGAATTACTCCCAGGTAAATAAAGAGCTCTGAATATCTGAGTCTTTAAGAAAGCCAAAAAGAGAAAGATAAAAGTGTTCTTATGTCTTCCCTCACTGTCAAAAGGCATTTAGTCACTTTCTAATCATCATGAATAATTACAAAATCAACACAAAAGTGTTTTTATATGTTCAAATTAAGGGCTTCCAAAATTCCAAAGCACAGTTTCCATGGCAGCTATAATTTGCATCCTGTAGACTTAGAAAATAGAAGAAGAATACAAATCATGCTTTTATTCCTCATCTCGGAAGGCTGTAGGGCAGTGTTTGGTCAAAGATGCTTGTCCTCATTTAGACCAGTTTGCAAATGGGATGTAAGCAACATGATTCCCATCTCAATGATGGAGTTGGTTTCCAGGTCATTTCATTCTGACCGCATGTGCTCTGCTCAGTTTTCGGTCAGTAGCCCATTTTATCTCCCCTGCATTGTGTCAGTAATAGTAATGCCTTCCTTGTCTTAATATGTGGCAGTGCTAGAAAAAAAATTAATTACATAAAAACAAAAACCCCTAGCCCAAGGAACCAAATGGAGCCTGATATTTGCTCTGCAGAGTTGACATGTCACAGATTTGAAGGGTTTGTAGCTGTCTTTTGGTTAACATATAGTCCTGTTCCTTTTGCTAGTGCAATCTTTTTTGTTTTATTGAACTTATTGGAGTGACACTGGTTAACAAAATTATACAGGTTTCAGGTACGCAATTCTACAACACATCATCTATACACTGGAATTTGTGTTCACCACCCCAAGTCGGTGTCCATCCATCACCATTTATCTCTTTATACCCCCTTCTACCTCCTCCCACAGGCCCCCAGTCCTAGTGCAATCTTTCCATCAGCGCCTTAGTTTGCTTGGGCTACTATAATAAATACCATAGATGAGGCGGCTTAAACTAACTGGCGTTTATTTCTTGTCATGCTGAAGGCTCAGAAATCCAAGATCAAGAGGCTAGCAGATTCAGTTCCTGGTGAGGGCCTACTTCCTGGCTTACAGACAGCTACCTCCTCACAGTGTCCTCACCGGACAAAGAGAAAGGGAGCTCTGGTCTCTCTCCCTCTTCTAAGGACACTAATCCCACCTTGGAAGCCCCATCCTCATGATCTCATCAAAATCTAAGTACCTCCCAAAGGCCCCACCTTCAAATATCATCCCACTGAGGGTCAGAGCCTCAACACATTAATTTGGAAGGGACACAAACATTCAGTTGGAGATCTTCAATATATGAAATATGGTCTAAATAAATGGATGGCAGGTTTGGAATCAAACGTACACTTTTTAACACTCTACAAACACTAGGCTGGAGCATCACTGAATATGCAACAACTCTAATGACCATCAAGAATGGAGGGGAGCAGCTGACTGAAAAATTAATTCAGTTCTGCACATTATAGGGAAACTACACCATATACAGAAGTTACACTCCAGAAGAAGACAAGAAAAGTATATGATCAAAATTACCCTGGAGAATCCCTCAGAAAGGTATCAGCTTGAAGACCAAGAGATTGTCTTGCAATCCCAGAGTTGCCCTGGAGTCCTCCAGGCACTGACATGGGTCACCATTTCCATAGGTTGGCCACCAGGTAAAGTTGGAAGCTACATTTCTAGAGTTACATTCAGCTCAGCAAGTTGTTCAGACAATGACAAGGACTGAGTCCAACAAAGGGAAAAGCCATTTCATACCCACAGTCATACAGTGGCATGTTGATTAATTAGCCAATGCAACTATAATTGTTACCCACCCCCTTCTTTGTCTCATGGGTGGAATTCCATTCATTTGGATCAAAGGGACATATGAAGAACTCTGTTACACTGAGTATCTTTCCACCCACACACCCACCTCTCACGTTAGCCAGCCATCCTGAAAACACCTTCCTTTGGTCCCTTGGGGAATCAGGCAAGAGTGGTGGGTAGATCCCCATGAATTCATCATGACCACTGTATAAAAAGAAATCTAGAGCGCCTACACAGAAAATTCCAGGCAGAAGCAAAACTGAAAGCTGAACAGATTTTCCTTTTAACCTGACATCACAGTGCCAAGCCCCATCTTTCTTCCCTGTCTTTTTCCAAGTTTCTTTCAGATCAAGCATTTGAGTTTTTAATTGTAATTCCACAAACACGCTGGCTTACAAGTCTCTGGGTTGAATGTGATTTCATTACTGCTCCTGTACAAGGCTAATCTCTCTTGATTTTCTATTAGGCCTTGGGCTCCCCATGTGCTCTAAGCATTTGTCCAACTTATTAACTTTGGGTCTGTCACTGCCAACCACCAGGCATCTCAATCATACAAGTAGACAAATTGCTTAGAGGCAAAACCACCATGGTAGTCTCAGAATTCTGAGAAACCATTCTAAATCTCAATATCTTTCTCCAAATGCTTTGAATTATTAAGGTGAACAGTTGAGATCCTAAACTGAAGTCTATGACTATTTTTTAAAAAAATTTACAATTTCTCTCTAACTCATCAGCTTCTGTGACTCCAAAACCACATAACCCTTCATCCTTGCATGAGGTTATAACATTTAAGAGCCCTGTGGGTACCAATTATTGAGAGGGAGATAAAGACCCAATGCACTGTAATGAAGTGCAGTCAAAGAATGACCTTGTCAGATAGACATTTGCACCCAGAGGGCAAAAGCCAACACTGCCGAATGTATTGCTTCCTTTTTAAGACACAATAATCCAACCTTTCAACTTCTAGAAACTCACACTTCACAGAAACACTAGCATATGTGCTCAGAAAAAATGCATATGAAAATGTGATGAGCACGCTTCTAACAGAAAAATAATTAGAAACAACCTAAAGGTTCATCAATGGGAAAGTCTACCCACATAAAAGAATGTTAGGCCCATGTTTAAAAGAATGAGGTAGAGCTCAACCTCCACTAGAATATAGTTTTTTTGGTCTGTTTTGATCACTGTTGTAAACCTAATACCTAAAATGGAACCTGGCACATAGCAAGTGTTCCATAAATATTTGTTGAGTAAACATATTGCTAAGTGAGCAAAGCTAGTGACAAAACATTATACACATATGTAAACAATAATGTAAACTGAGCCACTTCCGAATGGAGCTGGAGCATCCAAGCCAGAGGAACTGCCTGGCACCTCGTCTCAAATCTTTGGAATGTTAAGAAGGGCAAAATAACCTTTGAACTAGGCATAAGCAACCCTGTGTCCCAAAGAACTTTTGGCCAAAACAACAACAACAAAAAAGCAGTTACTATGACTGATGACTATTGGACCAAAAATTTAAAACATTATTTAGAATTAATAGCACTATGCTATGTAACCTGCACCAATAGAAATGCCTTTCTTCTATTGACGTAACTGTTCCCCTTCCCTTTCTCATAAATACCCATTGCCTTCATCTCCTAACAGGAACACTATTTGGCCTTTGCCTGAACCAGTGATTCCTGAATAACTATTCTTATGGATCTCAAATAAGTGCTTATATCTTGCTTTTTAATCTACCACATATCCATTCTGTGTAAAATTAAACAAGAGCAATGTCAGACCCCGCAAGGAAAGGGCTGGCAGGCGCTACAGCCAACTGAATGACACACAGGGATTCAGAATACTACTTTCTTTACCTTTCGGTATATTTGAAAATTGCCATAATACTTTATATAGACAAAAAAATTGCAATGCTACACACCAAACTATTAACAGTGGTTATCTCAGGCAGGTAAGATTTTGAGGTATTTTTCCTCTTTGACCTTTGTATTTAATTTTGCATTATGTTTACAATTAAGAAAGAAAAAACTTCCAGTTATAATTTGCCCACAAGTATTAAAGTTGTAAGCATACAGAAACTTTTACCTTACAGTAAATGTAGATGCAAGAAGGTAGAATTTCAGTTATCAAAACACCAAGAAATGCCCAACTTTGACAGTTATGAACATTTTCTATGCGTGTTTTAATATCATACTTGTTATTTTTTTACACAAATTATGAGACACTATGCTTAAGGTTTGGCCACTTATTTTGTCTACTTAGCATTAGAGTCAGCCAAGCAATATTAATTGAGTATCTACTATGTGCCAGGCACTGGGGGCAGAATAGTAATTAAGAAATAAAAATGCCTTCCCTCACTCTCAGATGCTAGTTCCCGGACTCCCTGGGCCCATGCTAGGGGCAACATAACTCTCATTTCCTCCAACACTCCCCAAAGAAAATCTCCAGCTCTATGACAAGATTCAAAAAATGCAGACCAGAGCAGCTGTTGAACACTTCTTCTCATGGGAAAATGAAGCTTACGTCCCAAAAGAGAAATTCAAAAGGGGAAAAAAATCATACTAATGCAATCATCCTTTTTCAATCATAGCCTCTCAACTGTACTCTCCAGGAAGCCTCTTCAATAACATGAAACAGTTCCCTGGAAGAGAATTCCATTAGAAGAATCTACATTTCACTGAGCACAGCCCCCTGATTACTGAATAAGCCTAGAAGATCTACTGCTTTAAAGTGACCAGAGGGCAGTCTCAAGACTAATGAGGGGCCTGTGGATGGCTTGGTAAATGCACCTGTCACACAATTTCCCTTCCCCTCGCACTCCCTGTTAGAGAATTTAAATATTCAAGAAAATAAGGTGGGAGTTTATTTCACCAAGTACAGAATAATGAGCAAATACCCCAAGTACGTTTTAAAGTTAAAGACACACAACATATTAAATGTCAGTGAGGTTTATGACTATCATTACTAGGCAGCCCTGACTGAGTGCCTCTATGCACCAGACAACATGACAAGCCTGGTCTGTGCACTAACTTGCTCAAGCCCCACACAGCCCTATTAGATACGCGCTGTCCCCATTTTGCAGATGAGGAAACAGGACAGACAAGGTTCACACATAAATGTCTAAAGTCACTGTACTTGACATACATTGATTTTATCTACTCAAAACTCCCAGTTCCTTTGGGTACTTGCACATCCTCCATTCCAAGAGGTCCTGGTAATCACAGTTCCCTGAACCCCTGGATACCCAGATGAAACCAATCACAGTACTTGGCCAAGGGGTACAAATGACCCAAAGCAGAGCTGATTAGAATCTTCCCTGACATTATATTAACATAGATAGTGAAAGATAAAACATCGGGTGGGGTATGATAGCCAGTCTGTGAAGATGGTGCCCAGTAACCCCCGCCTCCTAGAATCCATGCGCTGGTGTAGTTCCCTGGCTCATGGAATCTGGGCAGCCCTCTGACCCACTTCAAGCCACCAGAATGCAGCCAAATAGATCCTATGTCCCTTCCAGGCCTAAGCCCTAAGAAGGCCTGGCCACTCCTACTTTTGTGCTTTTGGAAACCCCTAGCTGCCATGTAGGAAGTCCAAATCTCTATGCTAGAGAGACCATGTAGGTTAGGGGTCAGCAAGCTTTTCCTGAAAGGGCCAGATGGTAAATATTTTAGGTTTTGTAGGCCTCACGGTCTCAGTCACCACTACTCAAGTGCCACTGTAATATGAAAGTAGCCATAGGCAACGCCTAAACAAATGAGAGTAGCTGTGTTCCAGTAAAACTTGGTTTAGGAAACAGGCATCCCAGGACATAGCTGGCTGACCCCGGATGGAGAGACCACACCGAGGAGCCCCAGAGAGCACGAGCCCCTGAGGCTTCAGGAGAAAAAGGCCCAGTCGTCCCAGAGTCCCCAGCTGAGCCCGACCTTCCAGTCAACGTGCCAGACTTTAGATGAGCCACCTGAACATTCCAGACCAGGAGAGTCTCTCGTGCCAAAATCTTGGCCAACATCACACAGGGCAGAGAAATCCTCAGCTGAGTCCAGCAGTCCGCAGAATCATGAAAGTTTATTAACGATCATCATTTGAAGCCACTAAATTTAGGGTAGTTAGTTATACTGCAAAGTCACATAAGGCAGGGTTTCTTAACTTGGCACAATTGGCGTTTTGGACCCAGTAATTCTAAAATATGTTTTAGAGAACTGTCCTGTGCATTGTAGAATGTTTAGCAGTATCTCTGCCCTCCCTTGCTAGATGCCAGTAGCAACCTCCCTCCCCCACCTCCTAGTTTTGACAACCAAAAATGTCTCCAGATGTTGCCCAGTGTTGCTGGGGAGCAAAATCGCCACTGGTATAAAGTAAAAAAATGTGAAACTGGGCACCAGCCGCCAACTTCCCGACCAAGTGGAAGGCGGGCAAAGTCAAGAACAGGGTGTGGCCAGGGCCGATTTAGGATCTAGGCACTTTTGCTTTCATCAGCCCCTTTGTGCATTAAAAAAAACAAATCAAAAATTATATATATTGTATGACTACAGTGGCATAATGAGGAATATAATCCAATATATAATTATATATATTGTATGACTACAGTGGCATAATAAGGGATATAATCCAGAACAATTACACTTTATTTCTATATTCATATTTCCCTTATGACTTTAAAATAAATTACACTTAAACTAATTAAAATACACTAAATTTGTTAAAATTAAATATTGTGGGACCTAACCACCATGTCCACTGGGCCTATGGAGAAGTCCACCCTGAGTGAGTGGAAGAATGGACCAGAGGACATTATTTAATCCCTGGAGCCAGCCATGCCTAAACTTTGACCCATTCCTCAATGTCTCAGTTTCATGAGCCATAAATTCACTTTTTGGTCTAAGCTAGTTTGAGCTGAGTTTCTGTCACTTGCAAGCAAGAGGCCTGACTTACCTGGTCTTCCAACTACAGCAGGTGGAACCTGACTTTGCGACTGGGCCCAAGAGCAGAATTCTTACTCACCGTCAGCGTCACTAACTCCTTCTGCCTCTGGCATCCTTCCAGTTTTCCCTAGCAGGACAGTTCTCAAGAAACAGTTCTCCCAACTTACACTTCCGGACAAAGTTGTTCACGTGCTTAATCTTCATCAGAGCAGGCTGACTGCATTCTTCAAAGAGAACAAAGAGGGCATCTAATATCCCTTCTCGGGAAAGAGGAGACATCTGCTGTTGAGTCATAAAGGGTGGTTTCCCCTAAAAACAGCAAACAGCAGATGGAGACACTGTCAATAATGAAAAGCCTTGATCAATAACATCCATCCACACAGAGTAAATTACAAGCCACCAACTCAACTAACTGCTCATGACACATACTAACAGCACAAGTCTGTGGCTTCATTCTTTAAAGAGACATCAATTGACAGTCATTAAGTTATCACTTGTACGATGCCATTACCATGGGTTTCTTTCACCAGCACCTGGGAAGAAAAACTTCACGTATATGCCATTAATTAGAAAAGGCCCTTCCTTCTTAACGGTCTGAGGCTTGCAGGAACATTTATTCTGAACCCTAGGGCTGGTCCTGACATGTCTCCATGTCTCTACAACAGGATACAATGACTGCCATTTCCTTCAGTGTGCCCAGAGGGTTATTAATATAACTTCAATTTCTTTAGTTCACTCGAACAATCTAGAATGGAACAAATGGAGTGACTATACTAACACTGAATTCATTAATGATCTAGAGCAACAGTTGCAAACTGTCGGACTGTATCTAGCCCACAGACATGTTTTGTTTGGTCTGTGGTATGTAAAATAATTTGAATTATCTGCCAATATTGAAAAATCAGATTTCACCAAAAAATGGGGGAAGGGAGAAATTTCTAGCTTCTCTTGGAGCACTGGTGGCTCTAGCAACATTGCCCCACAATCCTGCCTGGTGACTCTGAGCTGCAACAATGTAATAAGGCCTCTCTGGGCAGAGAATGCTCTCTGCATTTCACTGCAGGCCTGTCTTGCAGTCTTCCACCTGGCCCACCTGACTCATTTATACTCCCTGCCTGGCCCCCAAGGACATGAGTTTGCAACCCCTGATCTAGAGCAATGGATCCCATGTGTCCACAGGCCAGAGACTGTGTGTGGCGGTCTCTCTGTCACTCCCATCAAGAGCTGGAATCTATTTCCCCTCCCCTTGAATCTGTGCTGTTTCTGTGTCTCGCTTCAACCAATAGAGTATGACACATGTGAGACTGCTTCTGCTCTTCTGGAAAGCCAGTCACCATGTAAAGAAGCTTAAGCTACACAGTTCAGCAAACTATGGCCCATGGGCCAAATCTGGCCCACCACCTGTTTTCATAAAACGTTATCGGAATACAGCCCCACGGTCATTAATTTACACATTGTCTATGGCTGCTTTTGTGTTACAATGGCAGAGCTGAGTAGTTGTAGCAAAGACCATATGGCCTGCAGAGCCTAAAATACTTACTATTCACAGAAGAAAAGCTACAATCCCTGGGTTAGACAGAGTAATAAAAGATCTCATAACGAAGAGCAATCGATCAGGTGGGAGAACTCTGGGACACCCCAGCCTGCCGCCAGCACCCAGACGTCCCAGTCCTGGCCAGGCTCCCAGCTCAGTATGGCCCCTTGAGTGACCCCGGCTGAAGTTACAGGGTGGGGCAGGAGCTGCAGTCGGCCAAGCCACAGACTCATAAGAAAAATAAATCACTGTTGCTTTAAACTTTGGGAGTGGTTTGTGACACAGCACTGGATAATAGAAACAGACTGGCTACATTTGAATCACCTGGAGAACTGGAAAACTTCACTAAAAACAAACAACAATAAAAAAACAAACAAACAGACTTTTCTGACGCTATCTGCAACCTATTGAATTAGAATTTTCCAGTTCATAGGTTAAAATCTGTTTCATTAACAAGCCTCCCTAAGAGATTCAAACCTCAGCCAAGTTTGTGAGGCACAGGCCACACCGATTCTGTTACTCTCCAGTTCTGCCACTAACTTGGAAAAATAAAATTCTTTGTTTCTTCTGTTCTTTAAAGAGTATAGACAAAGCAGAGCAGCAGTTACCAAATACAGTAGTGATTCTTAATGGTTTTCAGGTCTGCCATGAAATTAAAAAAAAAAAAAAAAAAAAAGAACACCACATAATGACTCTTTTATAACATTAAATGTACTCAAATTTTAAAAGGGTCTTTCTGGCATTTTAAGAAAAATATCCTTTCTTTATGAAATAAAAGGACCAGAAAATAATAAGTTGTTTTGTTTGGTTTTTTTACATATGTTACTTGGCAAAATAAAAAGCGGGCAAACCTAGGTCAGCCCAGCAAATTTGTGAAACTTCACTGATTCAAAAATCTAAAAGCCTGCCAAATACTGACCTAGAGTTCAATGGGAAGTACTACTAACTAGAACCTGAAACCCACTCTAAAGTAACAGTAAATTTATGTTCACTTACCAGTGATTATATTTAGGAGGGTATTTATGTAGGGAACCTGTGTGATAATAAATACTACCTGAACAAAAAACAAAATCACCACTCTATTAAAACCTCATTAAAATGGCATTTTATGGAGAAAGAACAGTACCCTCAGCTGTTTACGTTAGGCAAATGTTAAGTATATGCTGCATTTGCAAATGATGGCTTTCCTGGAGGTGAGAAGAAACTCATCATTTAAAAAAAAAGATGAACTGGGGATTTACCCACAATCCTTACTGTTAAAACATTTATTGTTATAAAGACATTTAATAAACTGACATATACTGGTAGTGCTGCCCAGCAGTTACATGACCAGTGTCTAGAGTCAGAAAGACCAAAAACAGAGCCTGGCTCTGCCAATGTACAAGTTGCATGATCCTGGACAAGTCCTTGCCTGCCTAGATATATGTCTCTTCCTATTTGAACTGTAACTAAGAATAGTCCCTACCTTTGTTATAAGGCTGAAGAAAGATAATCAGGAACATGCTGGTTCTGTGCCCAGCACACTGGAAGCCATAGTTATTGCTATGTAATCAGCACATTATAAGCAGTTTAAAAATTTTGCAATAAGTTGGGAATGTTTTGGAGTAAAAAATAATGAAAATGCTAAAAAGCGGAAGCACACCAGTCAGCTAAGCTTAGAGACAGACTATTCATTTGTGAAAAGTATCTCATAACTCAAAATGGAGAGGTAGGTGGACAGTCACAAGGAACAACCTGAACTTTCAATCTGGCTCTGTTCTGACCTGTTTGAACATTCCCCAGTACAAGTATTTTGGAAAAAAGTTAAAATCATCAACAACTTTAGTATTTATTATCACACAGGTTCCCTACAGAAATACTCTCCTAAATATAATCACTGCTAAGTGAATATAAATTTATTGTTACTCTAACTATTATTACTATGTATAAAGGGCTTACCGAGAGCTGGGCAAGGAGCTAAGTGCTTTGCATCGATTATCTCATTTAGTCCTCACAACTGCCCTGTGAATTAGGTGTTATAACCTCTGTTTTAAAGCATGGCAATGGATTCACAGGAGCCAACTGACTCATCCGAGGTAACACAGCTAACGAGCGCTTCGGCTAGAATTCAAACCTCAACCTTCACCACTAGATATGTTTTCCCCCTGACTTGTGAATACATAAGTCAAACAAGGATAAACAAGGATTTCTACATCAATGGTATTCCATCTACATCAGAAGCAAAAGAATTAGAAATCTACTTGGATATAATCTCATGATATTAAGTTTTAATATTTCTGGGGTGATGGCAATGTTCTATGACTTAAGAGGAATGTGGGTTTCACAGGTGTAGTATTTATCAAAACTTTTTTTTTAATCTAAAACATAACCATCCCTTGAATGAAAAAGAAATAGGATTACACCTACAGAAATTTTAGTCTAGCAGGCCTCTGTTCCTTTGCTCCTTTTTCTTTAGTAAAAGGCCAAACGTTAGTACAGAAGTATAAAGTGTGTGAAATCATAAAAAAAAAAAAATCTTCTTTCAAGGGCAAGTTCAGCTATCTCATCCTGTGTGCACGGTGACTTCTGTTTCCAGTACTATCAGGGCACATAAAATGCCAAATGGGATTTCTCCCACATTAGCCTCAATGTTTTATAATAAAGGCAAAGGTGAGTGACAAGAAAGTTCCAAGGAAACAAACTCAGATGAGCAGAGTTGGCAGCCTGTTACCTGGAAGAAAAGATTCAGCCGGGAGGCCCGGCTGGTAATGGGCTCAGTGACACCAGCGTCCGGCAGAGTCCGTGCTCCATACTTGAATTTCAACATCTCGCCACTGGTGCTGAAAGGAAGTAAGAGGAGGTCAAGCGTGTACTGACGATTTAAGGAGAAAGAGTTTGAGCGATCCTGATCTCCCTCGAGATCTCAGGGATGGCAAGGTGAAGATCAGCCACCACGTGGGTCTTGGGGTACTCAGCCTGGTGTTGGAGAATAAAAACCTGGTATTTATTCACTGCGACAGGTGATGCACTTATCTGACGTACTCGCTCACTTACAAATTTGTTCATTTTCTGCCCTCCTTAGAATGCAAGCACAAATTTGTTTATTTTATGCCCCCTTTAGAATGTAAGCACAAAGGCAGGGATTTTTATTTTCACTTAGTGGAGATGCATATAGTGTGGTTCACAGGAGGCACTATTAAATAGTTACTGAATGACTGAAAATAAGCAAATTACATAATATGTTGGGAAATGATGAAATGTTATGAAGTTAAAAAAACTTAAGCAAGGTGAAGGCCGTTGGGGCACAGGTGCGCGTGCGGTCAGAGTAGACTACTGAGAAGGTGACATTTAAACCAACACCTGAAAGGAGAGGACAGCAAGCCTTGCTGATAACTGGAGAAAGCACCTCAGGCTGAGGGACAAGCCAGCGCTACGTTTCTGAGGCAGGACGTGGCTTTCTCTAATATAATAGCAGGGAGACCGGAGGGGCTGGAGCGGAGAGTCAGTGAGGCCGGAAGTAGCTGGTGATGGATGGATCCCGGGAGTATGAAGACACGTAAGTAAATTAAGGCCACACAGGTAGTAAGTTGCTGCTAGACTCCACTTAATGCTACAGGAGTCAGGGCAGAACATCATAGGACCCCACTCAGATTCAGAAAGGACCAATTCCTGCTGCCCCGGGCGCACCTCCCCGAGCTGACCCTTCGGCTCCCGTGGAACTAGTCGCGCTCATCGCCTGCCCCAGACGACCTTCCCGTTTACCGGCAGCCCTGGGGGCGGGACCACCACACTCCCCGCTGTGGAAGGCGTGGATTGGCGTGGGTGGAAGAGGCCCTTCCCAGGTCTTATGGAGTGGGGTGGGGGAGAATTGGGCGTTGTGGGGGGGGTTCAGACTCACGATCAGAGGACCCCGCCCGCCTGCGCTCTGCTCCGCTCCGTGCTTCCCGCCGCAGTGTTTGAACCCGAATCGGCGGGTCCAACCTATCAGAGTGCAGTACCTATGATTGACATCTACGTATCAGCCACGCCCCGTCCAAGTCCTTAAAGGGAAAGATTGAGGGGCGGGCCTTGGAGATTTTGAAATTGCCAGTTAAGCAGGATGCAGTGTTTAGAGAGCTTCGGTCAGCGTATAAGATCGCTGAAGAGGTCGCCAGGGGAGTGTCCCCTGCTTTCACGGCCACAGGCGAGGAGGAAGGGAGCCAGGCCTCGGCCTGGTCTTGTTTCTCAATCTTGGCTAAAGTCGAAGTACTTCTTACTTGTTAAATCAACTGTTTTTCTGCTACAGCTGAGTTAGCAGATGGTTTGAGTTTGAACTTCCACCTGCCTCGGTGACAGCATCTTTGGTCTAATGTCTTGCAGAGAGTAGGTACAGGTATTGAGACTGTCTGAAAGGATATTTTAAAATAAAAGGCAAGAGACGTAAACAGGCATGTCGCTAAGGAGGAAATCCAAATGGCCAACAACATATGATAAGATGCTCAACCTCATTGATAATCACAAAATAAGAAAAATAAAGCCACAATGAGATAAAATAATATGCATGCAGATTAGGGCAGGGAAGGGGATCTGACTGTTTTAAAGAAGAGGAGCTACACACATCCATACATGGAACTGCAGATTAGTACAGTGTTGGCACCACTTGTTAAAATTGAAGATATGCACAGTCTATGACTCACTTTCGTGTATCTTAGAGAAACTCCTAATTATGTACATTAGGAGACATGTACAAGAATGTACAAATACCACTGAGTGGTGTAATGGAAAAAAAAACAAACAACGGGAAGTTACCCAAATATCCATCAACAGTAGAAAGGATAATTTCTTATTTGCACTATTTTCAAACAGCCATGAAAAGGAATAAACTACAACCAAAACACAATGACATAATGTGTCTCAAAACAATGCTGAATGAAGGAAGCAAAACTATAAAGTAAAATTTATTAACATCAATTTCAAAAGCTGACAAAATAATGTTGTTTAGGGAGGGAGGCAGAGACAGGTGGTAAAACCATAAGAAAGCAAAAATCCAGACAGCAGAGTTGGGATGGAAGCCTTTCAGGGTGTCAGGGTGTTGCTATGATCTATTTCTTAACCTGGGTGGTAATATGGAAGTTTAATAATTATTAAATTGTATGTATTACGTTCTATTTATGTATATAAAAATGAAAGTTGTTTCTGTACTCTTCTAATCCTACACTAGATAGAACTGGAAATGTGGTCCTACACTCACACACGCACACACAGGCGCACTCATCAGTACACAAGCAAAGCTACATACCTGCTTCATACACTTTCCCCCCAACACAACGTGGTATTCATCCCTGCGACAGCAATGATAGCTATGAGTTATCAAGCACCCCCTTCCTTACCAAGCACTTTATCTCACTGAATCACAACCCTGAGCAGGAGGAATTGTAATCTACATTTTACACATTGAAGGTGAGGGAGGGTGCATGACTAATCTTGAGTCATTTAGCTTTAGGTATTGGAGCTAGGTTTGGAATTCCGGGATTAACTGACTTCAAACCCTTTCCTCTACACAAAACCAGCCTCTCAGAAGATGTTACAAGCTCTCCCAGTCTCTGGGTTTGTCCTGTTACCAGGGCTGACCCAGTCCAGAAAAATATGTAAAAATAAGAAATGCTTCTAATGACATGAAAGGGTTAGCCGAAGTCTGGGGCTGGCGAGGGGAGGGGAGACACAAAAAGCAATGTAGGCAGCTCTTGCCTTGATAGAAAGAAATCTCAGAAAAGCTGTGAACGTGGAGCTGGTCAATGCTTCTGCTGATTTTTCCAGTCCAGCCAATTGTTAGTTTTCAGGTATCACAAACAGAAACCTTTACCAGAATCTTGAGACGTACTCACCCTAAGCTAGAAAGCAACGCTAACAGCCTTTTGCCCTGCCCTGAACCCTTCCCCGAGTCCCTGCTAATGGCCCGGCAGAACAGTTACTGGTCTCTGCAAATCCTTGGTGAAGCAAGGCAGGGAATAAACAAATAAAATGAAGAAAGAACCGTGAAACAAAAGCACAGTAACTCTACGGCTTTTCTTACAAGGGTAGTCACTGCCCAGAAAGTGTAGAAGGAAAAGAGAGCTTTTTAAAGAGGGACAATAGCGGCTGTGCCGGTACTAACAGGATAAGCACTGCCAAATAGAATGAACTGCCGTTAGGACTGGACTGTAAGGGAACCTTGTGTTTGTTCCTGCACACAATGCAGCGATGACCAGTTCTGTGCTGAACGTGAACCCATGATGACTGCGGTGGTGGGGATTCTGGAAAACCATCAGAACTGGGTGATAATGAAGGACATCATGATGTTCTCGCATGTAATTACTCATTTATTCAAAAAAATTCATTGCGCCAAGCACTGAGGGTACCAACATGAAAAGGACACCCATCCTGCCTGTTTGGAGAAGCTGGGTATGGTGGGGAAATGGGGCTGTAAGCAAACAATTCTAAGACACTGTGATGCGTTCCTGTGGCGGCAGCGAATACAGAGGGTTGTGGCAACCAAAGGAAGGAAGGCCAAAGGCAGGTAGTATGTGACAGAAAACACCTGAAACTTGAAAATTAAAGAAATGTGATTGTCTTCAGAGCAGTCAGCTGGGAAATAACACAAGCAGCAGTCAGCCAATGCACCTTAAAGAGACAGAAGGAATGACCGATCGCAAGACTCAAACTAGACTTAGTGGCACATTAAAAATTGTACATACCGTCCTCCCAAAGGGCAGAAAAAGAATCTGAGAAGCTAACCCCATTCTAGACATAAAGAGGCAAAGTTATTCTGGTCCCTTTGGCAAAAAAGAGTTCCTCAAGCTATTTTAGCTGCAGATAACTTCTAAATATTAAAAATAACTACCACTGAGAGCTTTCTAAGAGCAAGCCATATCCCAGGTATTACTTATTCCCAAAAATGTGTTCCCACCACTAGTACAAGAGACACTTTCAGGTCACACAGAAAAGTCATTTTTTAAATTTTATCCTGTGACCAGGAAAACTGTAGCTAGTTCATCAAATCAGATACTTCAGAGCTTATATCACTGGAGTAAGACTAAAGGAGATATTTAAAAACAAAATAATGAGTGAATAAAGAAAATGTTAAGTAAACACTAGCATAGGTGGCTTTTTAAAAATATATCTTTTTAAAATCTTGAAATTTGGAAAACACACATCATTTAACCTCTTTGAGCCTAAATTTATGCCTAATTATTGTGACAGAGTTAAGAGATGTGAAAATGCCTTGTAAAACCTAAAGCCAGCACCCACAGACTGGGAGACAATATGTGTAAATTGAATATTTGGTAAGGGTCTAGTATCCAGAACATATGGAGAATTTTTACTCAACAGCAGAAAGACAAATAACCCAACTTTAAAATATGCACAAAGATTCAAATAGAATTTCTTCAACAAAGAAATGCAAACGGCCAAAAAGCCTATTAAAAAAATGCTCAACATCATGAGTCATCAGGAAAGTGTAAATCAAAACCACAATGCAAGAACACTCCATACCAACTAGGATGGCTACAGAAAAAGGAAAAAAAGAAACAGAAAATGCCAAGCGTTGGTATGGACGTGGAAAACAATTGAACCCTCCTGCATTGCTGGTGAGAATGTCAAATTATGATGTCACTTTGGAAAACAGTTTGGGAGTTCCTCAAAAAGTTAACAATGGAATCTATGACCCAAAAATTTCACCTGTATGTTTATATAGCCAAAAGAAATTAAAGCATACTCATACATTTCTGAAGATTATGAAAATTTTAACTGATTGTTACAACTTTCAGGCTGACACCTAATGGTGCCACTGTTTAGTCTAAGTTTGAATGA